AATTCTCTCACGTTCTAATTCATCTAACCAATTAGATGATAAAAATTTAGACAGCGCTCTCAAACCAACAGAACCATTCTTCAATAGTAATGAAAACAACTGTTCAATCACTTATTTACAATTTAAATACATAATGGATAATTTTAATAACAAACAAATTAATATCCATTCGTTATGCGATGACACTAACACAAATATACCCTCTATTATGGAAACAATAGAAAAAATCCGACCATACATTAACGAACGCTCTATGAAAACCAAATTAACTAAATTATCCAACCTACTATTTCAAATTCAACCCCCCCTAGAAAACAATGAAACATTTTAATATCAAATCAGTTCAAGAACCAGCAAAAATACAAAAACATCACTCATGAAAACCAAAATATTACAATGGAACACCAACGGGTTCTACAGTAGACTCGATGAACTCCAAATATTAATCAAAGAACACTGCCCTTCAGTAGTATGCATACAAGAAACCAATTTCAATGATAGTAGTAACCCCACTTTCACACACTTTGATATATATAAACGTAACCGTTTCTCCTGCGCCAGAGCTAGTGGAGGAGTTGCAACAATGATTAATCATAACTTTCCGAGCATAGAACTTCCATTACACACCGACCTCGAAGCGATAGCAGTCACAGTTACGCTTCCCCACACAAAATTAACTGTATGCAACATATATATACCCAACCAAAGAGATTTCTCTCTATCAGACATCGAAAAAATAATACAACAACTGCCCTACCCATTCATCTTAGTTGGTGACTTCAACAGTCATAGCGAAACCTGGGGATCACACAAAACAGACCACAGAGGGAAAATCATTGAAGAATTACTGACGCAGGATAACTTGATACTCCTCAATAACGGAGAACCAACCAGAATCAATCCCTCTAACGGACGCCCTTCCTCCATCGATCTTTCCATAGCTAACTTATCCCTCTCTCACAAATTGGAATGGTGTACCCTGCCATACACACACAACAGCAGCGACCATATACCGATACAAATCTCCATCAACCTTCCCCTTGACGACACTCATCTGGTCTACTCATCTCGTTGGTCAATCAAGAAAGCCAACTGGAATCTCTTCACCTCCCTAATAGAAATAAAAACCTCCAGTCTCTCCTCCCCCTCACCAGAAAACACGGAAGCAGTAGTAAGGGAATTCACCGACATGATCACAGAAACAGCCAAATTAACAATAGGAACCTCAAAGAACAGCTCTCCTAGACCTCGGGTCCCCTGGTGGAACGACGAAATTAAAACATCCATTCAAAACAAAAACAAAGCCCTCAAAAAATTCCAAACATCCCTCGCTCAAGAAGACTTTATTAATTTAAAAAGAGCCAGAGCACAAACCAGATATATAGTAAAGCGCAGCAAAGCCTCATCGTGGAAAGAATATGTATCCAGCATAAACAACCAAACGGACTCCTCAATAGTATGGAAAAAAATCAAATCCATCAAAGGAACCAACAGGAACACCATCCATTTTATCAAGGACTCCAACCTAACAACCTCTCACAAAGAAGTAGCCAATACCCTAGGGCAAATGTTTCAAGACAACTCTAGTAATTTCAACTACGATCAGGAGTTCCTCTCTAATGCACATAAATTCAATAACCCCACTAATACCGTGGATCCGCTTGATAGTGTACAAACCCATCTGAACTCCCCTTTACTCATAACAGAACTTGAAAATGCATTCCGTAACTGCAAAAGCAAAAGCCCGGGTCCTGATGGAATCCCATACCTATTTATTCAACATTTGCCAAAAAACGCTAGAATATACTTACTATCAATATACAACTCTATATGGACTAACAAAACATTCCCCGACTCTTGGAGGCATGGTTATGTCATTCCTATCCTTAAGCCTGACAAAAATAAATTCCTTCCCGACAGCTACCGCCCTATTTGTCTTCTCAACACTATATGCAAACTACTTGAGAAGATAATCAACAATCGCCTTACGTGGTTTTTGGAAAAATCCACATACTTCACCCCAGAACAAAACGGTTTCAGAAGCAATAGAAGCACCACTAAAAACCTCTTAAACATTAAAAACAATATTCAAACGGCCCTACAGAATAATCAAAAATTAGGAATCATCAGTTTTGACATCGCCAAGGCATACGACACAGCTTGGAGGCCCAGAATCATTTACAAGCTTAACCAAATTTTGTCCAAAGGAAACATGTTAGAATTCATAAACAACTTCCTCTACAGTTTAACACATAATGGTTGGAGTTTTATTTTGAAAAAATAGATTTAAGTTGGGCGAACTTTTAATCACATTACAAAAAAAGTCTAATATCTTCTGATGTAATATTATTGACTGGTTCATAGTAAATCACCGTGTATGAAAAGATTTTTGTTTCATTGTTATTATATTTGAATATCAGCTATTTCCTAGATTAAATAATTTGTATAAATAGCTATGAACATTATATACTTACAATTAGTTATTTAAAATTATAAAAACTAGGCCATGAAATGCTTAAAATTCAAAATATTGTATAACCTAACAGAACAAACAAAATAGAAGTTAGTTAGAGTTTAGTATGCTAAATTCGGCTTTTTTAGAGAAATGTTAAGTTGACAATTTAAAAGTGTCCAATAAAGTAATGAGAATAACTTAAAAACAGTTTTTTTTATTAATATTTTAAATTCTTACGTTAAATCGTAGATTACTAGATACAACCGCTGAAGCCTTTGGGTTATATTATAAATACACTCTTTATATATTATAATATCATGATATCTATTATCATCATGTAGCTTAACGGCTATTGAAGGCCTGACGCTAACTAAATTACATTTTAAAATAATAATATTGATTTTAAAATGACAAAACATTTATAAGCTTATATTAGCATATTTTAATTTAAAATCACATTTTTTTCTGTTAAAAAATAACTTATTAAGTACTGCCCCCCCACCGAGAATATCGTATCGTTGTAAATTGTAACGTTATACTTGGTGTGATAAACAAGTAATTTCGGATCTCAGACAAATGTCACGGATTTCTCGCGATACCCGTTTTGGAATGGAATGGAATAAGTTCAACGCGCTGTAGCTAATGTGGAAGTGTCGGATCAGGATTATTCTGTTTGAGGTGATCGCCGCCTCTCGCGTGAATAAAGCATACCTAAGTATATCTCATTTCTTTTCCGGTTATCCCGGTATAATTGGATAATAATATTCCAATTATATTGCGCTCATTATGCAGACACGTTATAAAAATTATGCGTTTTCATTAAGTTGAAAAAATATATTATATTAACGATCATCAAATAATTATTATTATTTTATTTTCCACGACGACTATCAACAACCCCGAAATAATAATTTATCACGCCGTTATTGGAAAACAAAATTAATATATTATTATAATGAATATTTTTGTCGACCATATTTTCTACCGGGTACTCCACAGATTTGCGCCCCGTCGCGTTTGAATGAAAAAAATTTAAAAAAAAATACTCGTTTATTCCAACGTGGAATCTTTTTTGTTTCGGTAAAACCAGTGGTCCGGTTAGTGGATATTTTTGGCGAGATAAAAAAAATTAATCCTACAAAGTCGAAAGTCCGATAAGACAAAATCTGGCATGTCATATTGCCAATAATTGTGATAGCTGTACTGATTTGAAAGCAAGTTTAAATTTATCCATTCGGTTTCGTTAACCAAACTCCGCAAACTTGTTAGTGGATTACAAAAATTACACATTTCTTTTTAACCGTCCAATTCAACTCGGTTTTCGATGATTCACTTAGATTTGTACGGTTCGGATGCAATTATTGATAGCATAGCCATAATGCCATTATAAATATATTTTTGTTTTTTAAAATATGTTATTTATCATTGTAAACTTGTACCGTTCCTATGATAATATTTACAAATTATATTGATATTGTAATCCAGCGACAATAATGAAGATGGTATAAAAATGTATGCAATATTTTTTTTTTTAGAATTTAGGGTGTTGCAATACTGTTATATTATGTCTCTTAATATGCTTCATATTTAAAGTCCCCGCCAATCTCTTTCATGTTTTATAGGTCGCTCATTTTACTCCTTACACGACTCCTTTGACCAAATTGGGATCTATACAATAAAACTACTAACTGGGATCATTTAATTAAATTTAGTTAAAAGATCTAAAAGTGATAAAATCACCTGATACCTGTTGAATGTTGATTCATTCACACAGAGTAATCTGAAAATTTAATAAGTCTTGAGTGTGATTTTCTCTTTTTTTGCAGGTCTTCATTGTTAAAAATAATTTTTTGTATCACGTGACGGTCTCCCTATAGGTCGACCTACCATTAGCTAAATTTTTAGATCTTGAGACTTTAAACTATTTTCAAAAAAGTGAAATAAAAAAAAAAGATTCCATTCCTTTTAGGAAACAAAATGTTTGTCAACGCATATTGTTAGTATTATAATATCATACACAAGTTTGGAAGTAGATGGGATAATTTTTTTTAAATATAGTGCGCCGCAATTTTAAATAAAAGTATTTCTAAATTTCGTGGGTGTTCTTTTCGATTAAATTAGGGTTTTGGGCTAATAAGCTCACCTTTTAGCTTTCTAGGTACGATCATTAGTTTATCATTTATAGAGTTTCTACATAATTAAATCGGTTCAGCGGTGCAGACAAAAAAATAAACAATTACCATAATAAATACCCAGTAATAGCTATTAGCTAATACAATCGAAGCTAACAAAATAAATTACAATTGTTCTTTTTTAAAATATTCGTCCAAACACTTTATAAAAAAAATCTGCACAAACGCAAGTGTGCCTTCTGTGAATGGTTGCTGGCCCATTCAATATTAAATCACTTAGCAATGCGTTTACTTTTTTCTAGTCAAATCGGTCGTGACGGTTACTCGTTTAGAAACCGTCGACCGTCACTCAGTCTATAAATATTCGTCTACGTGAAACGTTTGTATTTGTTATGTGGCGCAAGTGTTTTAAAATGAGACCAATTTTACAATTGTGTAGCCGACTCCTGAGACCTTTGAACGTCAATTGTTTTGCTCCGTCGAAAACCGGAATTTTCAGCCGGTTGTATGCAAACGAGTGCAAGAATACCAACACCCGGAACGGCGTAGTGTTCGGCGTGTACCAGGAGGGTTGTGAGTACAAATATTCTGTAGACGCGCAGGCCTTCAACGACAGACTGAGTGGTGCGATAAGTAAGCTGTTGGCCGTGTCGCCGATACCGCCCGGCTCTGCGCAACTATTTAACAACCTGGACAAGGATTACCCAAACTTGGCGGTGGCCAATATCGGGTCACAAAAAGCCGGGTACGACAGCGTCGAGCTTTTGGACCTGGCCAAATCGAATGTCCGGCAGGCTATCGGCCAGGCAGTGTTGCTGTTGGACAACGAAGGCTGTACAAAGATATTCGTCGACGGTCTAGACTGTCCGGACACCGCGGCAGAAGCGGCCTTGCTAGCCTCGTGGAAGTTCGAGGCCATGAAGTCTGGTATCAACCAGACGCAACAGGCGACGGTGGAGCCGTACAACAAGAACGACAAGGGTTTGTTTGATCGGGGCGTCGTGTTCGGCAGCGTGCAAAACCTGGCCAGAATGCTCACCGAGATACCGCCCAACGCGCTGACGCCGACTTATTTCGCCGATCAAATTATACGGATGTTGTGTCCTTGCGGTATAACCGTGGACGTGCACGATCGCGACTGGATGGAATCGAAGAACCTCAATGGCATTCTGGAGGCTTCCAAGGGGTCATGCGAGGCGCCCCTGTTCGCCGTCATCGGATACTGCGGCGGCGATAAGAATCAAAAACCGCTGGCATTAGTCGGCCACGCCACGACGTACGATACTGGCGGCGTATGTTTGCGCGGGTGTGACGACATGGCGTACAAGAAGCGGCACGTCGCGTCCGGCGCCACGCTGATTGGGCTGATGAAGGGAATCTCGTGCCTCAGTCTGCCCGTCAACGTGTACGCGTATATACCTTTGTTCGAGAGCGGCACGTCGGGTTCGGGCATCAAGGCCACAGACGTGTACACCGCACTCAACGGTAAGTCAGTCAACGTGGACAACACCAAGTACATCAGCCGGTTGGCCGTCGCGGATACCATAACGTACGCGACGCGCAAAGAGGCCGAGCCGCAGGCGCTCATTAACGTCAGCACACTGTGCGGCGTCACGTCCAGACTGTTCGGCGAACTGGCCACGCCGTTATTCACTAACAACGTGGGCATGTGGAAAGAACTGGAACAGGCCGGTTCCATCACCGGCGACCGCGTTTGGCCGATGCCGTCTTACAAGCGCAAGGTGCAGATGATCACCCGTGACGATATTGCAGACGTGGCCGTGCTGGGCGAGGGCGGCGTTGACCTGGATGACCTGGGCAAGAGCGCGGCATTTGTCGCACAGTTTCTCACCGACCCTAATATAGAGTTTGCACACCTCGACATTGGAGGTGTATGTCGCAACAACGACGTGGTCACGTTTCCATTCCTTCGACCAGAGTTCGCTACCGGCCGTCTAACCCGAACGCTACTGCAGATGATTTACCAGATAGCATGTCCACACATACCGCCGCCACATAAATGATCTTTTATTTTATGTCAAAATGTGAATAGTGACCATCGTTTCGAATAAATTTCTTTTAACAATTAATGGGTTACGTCCTTACCCTTGAGAAGGTGAGTTCAAAAAAATATTTTTCGTTGCTAACCCAAAATAAACACTTGGTAACCACGGTACTCGAAAGGTGATGATTGTTGTGGCCAAAAGTTTTTTAATAGTTTTTTAATAATTGGTCTTAATCGATTTATTGGCAAAACATTCACTTGGTTATTTTGAATCAACTTTGCCATTCATTCAAGTTTGTTCGTTGTGAAAACACATAATTTAAAAAATGCAAAATCCCCACCCTCATAAGAATATATCTGTAACAACTGTGAATAAGTGTGTAAGTCGATTTCAGTGATTTTACAGGGGAACGATTTTAAACTTTGACCAGCTGCCATAAATCCCTACTTAACTAATAACTCACATCTTTCTCAAGGTTTTCTTGTTGGTGCAACGAGTTAGATATTTATTCATGGTGTGCTAAACGCCTCGGACTACATCCTAGCGTACTTAGTAAATGATGACCAAAATTCGACTTACGCACTTATTTAGTTGTTACAAATATATAAGGATACATTTTCGATGTCGGTGTCGATTTTTCCAGTTAGTAAAAACATAATATCGCTAATCTCTTATCTCTTATCTCTCTTATCTTATCATATAAATCGGCTGATTTTTTCGTTATGATAACCGGAGTCTATTGTAAATGGTGTCGATTTTTCAAACTAAAGGTTTTCACATAGGTATTACATATCATATTTTAACAGCTTGCATACGAGTCCACAACACCACGTGATACATTTTTATGTACCTAAGGTGGCTAGTAAACATATCAAGTTTCTGGCTAATATTTTAGTATTTTCATAATATCTGGCCTAAAACAATTTATAGGAATGTGACCTCTTAAATTATTGAATCTATTTTTCAGTTTTAGTTTGAACGTTGTGAATACAACATATATGCCCCCAACCCCATCCCCATTAGAGCCCATAACCCCACTGTGGGTGGCGGCAGGTTGGTTAGGCTTATCAGTTCGGGGAGTACAGACTGCACGCGGGCTATTTTAGTGTTGTGCTGTTGCACAAATAACGAGCAATTAACGACAACTGAGTGAAAATATGAAAATTTGGTTGTTTTCGTGGGAGTAAATATTGATAATGCCCAACGGCTAAAGCAAATTAATTATTCCAGAGGCTGCCCACTCGTTTGCTTTATTTACTTTACTTGACCCTTAGACCGTCCGAGATGCGCTCGGTCCCAAAAGAGATGAGATTATTCCTCGAATCGTTTAAATTCGCGATCGACGTTCGTCCTTAGAAGTTCAATTATGAGCATCCCTTTATGCTTAAGAATACTTAGTAATTATTATGATTAATTCGTGTCCTCCGTGTAGATAAAAACTGATGCCGCCGACAAATAATGATCAATGTACAATGTATCTATAAAAATTGAGATTCAATAGTACGTCCTTTTTAGATTGACATTTTGGTGTTGGTGAAAACGTATTACAATTTTGCATTACATTTTTTATGACGCCCGTCGTTTATCTGTACGTGCCCTCGCCGTACTAGCTTATTTTGAGCGTTTTACACTTTTACTCCTTTTGAACACATATTATGATCCTTTCATATCAGCTCCCTCGGGCGTCCACATAGGTGCCTTTTATGTGTATACCGGGTCGTCTCTTGAAGAATACTGGCCGAGTTACCTTCATAAAAAGCATTGCCTGACTGTTTGCGAAAGACCTTGCAACTCACCGTGGGTTTGCTTATCTATGCTTATCTATGTCGTAGGTGTCATCCTTTTCAGCTTTTATGTATACAAATATTCAACCCGTTCATTTAAAATACATCTAGTCCAAAATCGTCGTTTTCCAAAATAAGCGTTTGCAAATTTCACAAACTTTACAACTTTTTCAGACGCAATAAATATTTATAGGTTACCATTTACTTTATAAAAATAGCTTGTATATTTTTTCAATTTATAAATATAAAACCCTAAATATTATACCCTTGTGAACGTTTGTCGGTTAAGATTCTAAGACGGCAGGATGACACTGTAACACAAACGTTTGTCCATGAAAAATAACAGTTGATACAATAAAATTCTCTGTTCCTTGTAGCTGTGTAATAATATTATATTGAAGATTTTTAGGTTATCGATGTGGGACGATTAGAGAAGACCGCGTCATCGAGATAAAGATTTATCTGCATCATTTTTTAATTTGTGAATCGATAACAAATAATTTGAGCGTGATGTGTAGTTTCCGTTTTATACGTTTTGTAACTATCGAATAATTATTATTATTAACCTCTGTAATCACAATAATACTAATTTATAATAATAATAATAATAACAACATTGACGATTGTCGTACATTACCGGTTGGCGTGTGACTATAGTGTGTGTAGAAAATGTGTTTGTTGCACTTGATGGTAATCGTCATTTGTAACAATATATTGTTATATTAACACAATGATCCCCGGCCAGGTCGTTGTGGGAATTTTTAAACTTGTACTTTATTATCTGCGTGATTACTGTCCAAGGTGTCTTTCTATTTTAAGCCTTAAAGTTATTTGAAGCTATATGTTGGTGTGTAGTCCTGTCTTCTTTATAAACTTGAGTACTTCTCGGGTGCCATCCTAGAGGTTATTTGACAGGGAGTAAGACAATTTGCAGAGCTTATTTTGTTGCTCATACATCCTACATTCTACCAGAATGCAAGATTATCAGTTGCAAGTTGAACAAATTGGCGTCTCTTCTTTCTGCATCAGATAATCGTGCATGGTTTTAGTACAGCTTATCATAAGAGGGTTTATGATCACTTCTTCTCTTCTAGATAATTCATTGTTTTACCAGAAGTGACCATGGGGTTTTTTTCTTCTAGTTTTGAATCGGTCTTATCTCATCCGTTTTGCCATATGTTGGGGGCCAAACGTTTAAAATACGAAATAATTATTTTGTTATTGTTTATTGTTATGTAAAAATGTTATAGCATAGTTGAAAATATAAAGTATGGATGGACAACACCCGTTTATACATTTACGCTATAGTTAACAACTCTATTAGTTCAGAAATCGTACCTGAAAGTTACTTAATTAATAATTGGACCAAAAATTAAACAAAATTTTCCACTTTTCCTTCAGAATCGAGAAAAACCCCCAAAAAATGTACATATTTTTAACTTAAAGTTACGATGCTCTTTAAGTTTTTTTAAATTAGTCGAATTAGTTTCAAATTTGTATGGAATATTCTATTAACATAGTACTACCGATAATCATTGACAAACCGAAAAATATTATAAATCCTTTTCCCTAAAAGGGACAGATTTTTTTCTTAATTTTACTTAAGAGTCTGAAAATTAGAACTAAGGTAAATATAAAATGGAACTTAACATACACAATTTTCTTAAAAATCTGTAGTCAACCTTTTTACTAAGGAAAACCCCCCAAAAAGGGAGAAATTACACTTTAACCTCGGTCAATATTCAGGTTGCTACGTGTGAGTGAATTGACAGTCTACAGGCAATAAAAATGTTTTAATTATATTATGTTAATTACGATATATGGCATATATGGGTAACTATATAGAAATACTTTTTATAGACGGGCAATTAACCGTAATAGTATTTACCCTAACTAAAAATAAATTTTTAAGCACATAATTATCATTAGGTAATTCTACCTAATTCTTCATTAGGTACGCTTTTATCGACTCACTACTATTACTACTACTTCTACTGCTATGTATAATACTTTTTTATTGTGCTTACTGTGCTTGGTTTGAACCCAATATCCACAGATTCGCATCGAAGCGTTTATTTAAGAGTGATTTTATAATTCATGTTGACCTGTGACTTCCCCGTTGCCACTATGCCCCAAACCCACCCAAACTGTACTGGCTTTTTTTTCTAATTTTGACTAGGATAGGTTAGGTTCAAATCCAAAAATGCGGATGAAACATTGTTACGGGTTGTTACAATAGCGTTGCTCATCTGTAATATTATATTCAATTTAATCTATGGCTATATCAAACATTTCTAATACTTCAGCTTACAAATCGATTAATGACATTATTCACTATTATAATACATTATACAGATTTTGCGGTTGATTGGCCATCTTGGACACGTTAAAACAATTATAATAATTATAAAAATAATATTGTTGTATTCGTTTGACAACGACATCGACCGCCGCCGTCGACGGTTCTCACGTTTCCTATAACTTGAATAAGTCTACAAGAATAACACTGACCATCGATTACTGTCTACCGATTATCATTTGTTTTACTATTTATTTTGTCACCGCCATTACGTCTTGTACTAATGGTTTTTTTTCTTTATTATTATAGTCCGTCCTCTCGTGTTGATGTCAGACGGACATACGAACACAACTAGACGTCTCGTCCATAGGTTGTGTATACCTACCTGTATCCATAATATATAAACGTGTACTTGTAGTATATTTCCTATGTTGTATTAACATTATTGGAAAAGCTTTGACGGCAGACCGCGGCTGTTCCCACGCAGACCTCACAAACATTGGGTTCGTGTACTTCCTAGCATCTGCAAAGTAATTATACAGAAGGAATAGCCGTACAGCTCGCCTTGTGTTTTACATAATATTAGCAAGTTTGACCAAAGTCGAGCATTTAATTAGTCGCTATTACCTTACCATCAGATTTTCTTGGTCAAATAAAGTCGTCGACCCGGCTAGGTAATGTTGATGATAATATTATGTGAACTATAACGTTATTAGTAATATACTTTTACTGTAACAGTTAAATAACTGTTATAGTTTAAAACCTCATTTAAAACTAAAGCTGTAGAACAAAATATTTTCAAGATTATAAAGCCACTCGAAAACCGACTGTTGTTTAAGTATGATAAAGTACTGAAAAACATCATACAAGGGTAGTATTATATAACATAATATTATTGTAGTAGCCAGCTATAAACAAGGCGTACTAGTACCAAA